ACAATGCCGCAACTCTAAAATGTTCATAAAACACTAAAAAACCGATATAAAGATTAAAATTCAGTTAAAATAACGATTCGGAAGCACAAAGTCATTAACTTCTTGGTAAATGAACAATGATTGTGTCTTTCTGAGAATCACTCACACAGTATCCATGCTTTTTATAATAAAGGTAGGTAGCTCGCCCGCAGGTGTACATACAGTATAAAAAATGGTGGCAAAGATGCAATCCTTCCTTGATGTATAAAGGTAATCAGAGCAGCTATATAAGTAGTAGTCGTGATTTTAATCTAGTGTAGACTATAAATCTAGTAGTTGGATTCCATAGAGTATTGGTAACTGATCCAAAACTGCTAGCATTTCAAAAATGCTAGCATTTAATTGACATTATGGTACTTAGTAATCCAGAAAAGATGTCAGATAGTGGTGTCATTCATGTTGGAATGAGCGATCATTCAATGACGTATGTTATTTTGGGTAAAAAAACAAAATATAAAAATATGAATAATAGAAATAATAATAATAATAAAGCAAACCCTCAAAAACACCGATATAAAACTACAAGATGTTTAAAAACATTCAATGAAAGCACTTTTCTATCTGACCTCTCATCAGTTGACTGGAATATTATATTAACCAATGGTGAGGTTAGTGATAGCGCAAAGCGTTTTGAAAACATTTTTGTGAGTATAATTAACAAACACGCCGCTCCTCTAAAAAAACGAAGGGTACGCAAAACAGCAGCACCATGGCTCACTGACGACAATGTTGTCTTGATGCGTAAGCGTGATAACTTAAAGGCTCAGTATAATAAAACTAGAGACGAAACTATTTGGAATGAGTTTAAAAAGTGTAGAAATGAATGTAATAAAAGTATTCGTAAAAATAAAGTTGATCATGTAAAAAATGGCATAATGGAAAGTAATAACGATATGAGAAAAACTTGGAAGACTATCAGAAATGTCATTCCTAACAACAAGCGTAAACAATGTATAAAGGAAATCAAAGATGATGGAAATACTTATATAACTAATTATGACATAGCTAATGCAATCAATAAATATTTTTCTGAAATCGGTCCGACTCTCGCCAAAAAAATTGAAGAGTCTGGAAGTCATGAAATAATTGACTATTCTGAAGACTATGAAAAATATACAGATAAAACCTTTTGTTAAAAAAGGTTTGTTTCCAATTACTGAAATAGTCTTCCAACGAACAAGGCAACGGGATATGATGAAATCCCCGCAATAATGCTTAAAATTGCATCTCCTATAATTGCGCCGGTAATTGCATATTTAATCAATCATTCTTTTACAACGTGTTCCTTCCCAGAAAATTGGAAAATTGCTAAAGTTCTTCCACTATTCAAAGAAGGAGACACCTCAAATCCAGGCAATTATCGACCCATATCAGTCCTTCCTGTAATATCAAAAATTATCGGAAAAAAATGAAAATAAATTACTTAATGTCACTCAATCAGGCTTTAGGCCGTCATACTCAACGTCCACTGCACTCATCAATGCCACTGAACAATGGTACAGTTGCATTGATGAAGGTAAGATGGTAGGATTATGCCTTTTAGATTTCAAAAAAGCATTCGACACAGTAAACCATAATATTCTTTTACAAAAATTAAAATTGTACGGCCTTGGGAAATTCGCAATAAACTGGCTTAAAAGCTGTTTATCTGAACGAACTCAAATTACTGAAATTAACAATACAAAATCGAAACCTAACGTTATAAAATGTGGTGTACCACAAGGATCAATTATTGGCCCCCTTGCGTTTCTCGTTTATATAAACGACCTTCCCAATAAAATAAATAAATGCGAAATTAGCATGTATGCAGATGATACTATTATATTACGCAGCGAAAAATGAAAATGAAATAATTGAAACAATAAACCAAGATCTTGAACATATATTTTGTTGGTTAAAATCGAACAAATTAAGTTTAAACATATCAAAATCACAGTTCATGATACTTGGCTCAAGGCAAAGGCTTACAAGTAACAGTAATACAAGTTGTTCCAAGAGTACAGAGTGCAAAGCATCTAGGAGTAATAATTGATGAAAATCTATGGGACTGTCATGTTAATCATATTAGAGAAAAGGCCCTAAAAGGCCTATGTATGTTAAGACGATGCCGTAATATGTTCCCAAGAAATGTACTAATCAACATTTCTAATTCATTAATCATTTCTTACTTAACATACTGTATTTTGGTTTGGGGAAATTGCGGAAATACCTTGATGAAGAAGTTACAAACAATTCAAAACAGGGCAGCTCGAATTGCATGTAACCTAAATTGGGATGAATCCAGTTAACTAGCATTAAACTCAGCAAATTGGATATCATTAACTAAAAGAAATGAACTGGTACACTTACTTCTTGTATTCAATATTCTAAAAGATCGCGTACAACTTTATTTATCACATTTAATACAGTACAACACACCTAATTATAATTTTCGACATGGTAACCTTGATATGTACGTTCCAAAACCGAATACTGAATACAAAAGAAACAGCATATCTTACAGGGCCCTGTTTTGTGGAATAATTTAAACAGAGATGAAATAAATCCCTCTATGTCATTTAACCAATTCAAAAGAAAATTCAAAGAAAAGCTAACTAATACTAGGCCTTAATTAATGTCTAGTCTCATGCAATCATTATAATAATGCACTTTACTACTATTCAATTCTAACATGCGTTTTTTTTTTTTTTTTTTTTTTTTTTTGCAATTTTAAAGACAACAAACTTTTAAACTTTAAACCTAATTAATTTAGGCAAAACTTTTAACTTTATGCATGCTTTTATATTATTCTTATCGCGCTCGAACTTGTTGAAAAACGATCTGTTTATAATATTTTATTGTCGAACAAGTCTTTTGTAATGTTTTATTGTGCTGTATATAATTGTTTATATATGTTACTGTACTTGCAATTTCGAGAATAAATAAAGTTTTTGATTGATTGATTGATTGATTGATTGAAATCAAATTAAGTAGCAAATTTGACAATGACTATCACGCATAATTATTAAATAGTACGTAATATTACTTTTACATTGGATTTTCGTTGTTCTCTGCACATATTTCGATGTAAAACGATGCCTCGCATGAATCGTTGTTATGCCTCGCACTTTGGGAATGGTAAAACGATGCCTCGCATGAATCGTCGTTTTGCCTCGCTGCCTCGCATGCCTCGCTGCCTTGCACTTTAGTACTACACGACGAGAATCGACGTTGAATAGGAGTTTAATTTAGATTGTTCAGTGACTGACATGGTTTCAACGTCGATTCAACGTAATTGTTCAACGTTGAATCAATGCCACGTTGTGACGTTGCATCGATGAACAGAATCGACGTTGAAAAGACGTTGAATTTAGGTTGTTCAATCAACTGACCTAATCTCAATGTCGAATCAACCTAAGTGTACAAAGTTGAACCAACGTATATCAACGACAAGAATCGACGTTGAATAGGAGTTGAATTTAGGTTATACATTTACTGACATAGTTTTAACGTCGATTCAACTTCAGTGTTCAACGTCGAATCGACGCCTCATTGCGACGTTGCATCTTCACCGAGAGTCGACGTTGAACAGACGTTGAATTCCGGTTGTTGAAACGAATTACCTGCTAATTTTAACGTTGATTCAACGTCAGTGTAAAACGTGCAACCAACGTCACATCACGACGTTGTATTAACGACAAAAATCGACGTTGAATAAGAGTTGAATTTAGGTTGTTTAGTGACTGACATAGTTTCAACGTCGATTCAATGTCAGCGTTCAACATTGAATCAGCGCCACATTGCTACGCTGTATCGACGAACAGAATCGACGTTGAATAGATGTTGAAATTAGGTCGTTCTATCAACTGACCTAATCTCAACGTCGAATCAACTTAAGGGTACAACGTTGAACCAAAGTCATATCACGATGTTGTATTAACGACGAGAATCGACGTTGAATAGAAGTTGAATTTAGGTTGTTCAGTGAATGACATGGTTTCAACGTCGATTCAACGTCAGTGTTCAACGTTGAATCAACGCCATATTGTGATGTTGTATCGACGAATAGTATCGACGTTGAAAAGACGTTCAATTTAGGTTGTTCAATCAACTGACGTCCTAATCTCAATGTCGAATCAACCTAAGTGTACAACGTTGAACCAACGTCATATCACGACGGTGTATATATCAAGACGGTGTATATCAACAACGAGAATTGACGTTGAATAGGAGTTGAATTTAGGTTATATACATACATTGACTGACATAGTAACAACATCGATTCATCTTCAGTGTTCAAAGTTGAATCAACGCCACATTGCGACGTTGTATCTTCATCGACAGTCGACGTTAAATAGACGTTGAATTCCGGTTGTTTGTTAAATCGACTGATCTAATTTTAACGTTGATCCATCGTCAGCGTAAAACGTGGAACCAACCTCACGTGACGACGTTGTATCAACGACGAGAATCGACGTTGAATAGGAGTTGAATTTACATTGTTCAGTGACTGACATGGTTTCAACTTCGATTCAACATCAGTGTTCAACGTTGAATCAACGCCACATTGCGACGTTGTATCGACGAATAGAATTGACGTTGAATAGACGTTGAATTCCGGTTGTTGAATCGACCGACCTAAATTTAACGTTGATTCAAAGTCTGTGTAAAACATGGAACCAACGTCACATCACGATGTTGTAACAACGACGAAAATCGACGTTGAATTTAGATTGTTTAGTGACTGACATGGTTTCAACGTCAGTATTAAACGTTGAAACAACGCCACGTCGCGACGTTGTATCGACGAAGAGAATCGACGTTTACTAGATGTTGAATTCCAGATGTTAAATCGACTGACGCAAAATTAAAGCTCGCTTCGCTAACTAATTAGGGCTTCGAATAAGTCACCACCTGGGCCCCACAAACTCGTGATACCACTGCTTCTAGGGCCTCATTCCGATCACACTTTCTTCTTTCAGGACGACCGAGCCACATTGTTACCGAATCTTTCATCACTGACAGAAAAGACGAGCTTTATCTGGAAATTGACGACATCGTAGAGATTCTAGAAATGCAGGACGCCCTTGGCAAAAGTAAAAATGCTCCTGATTTTTTAGTTCTGTAGGCTTAAAGTACTTGTGCGTTCTGTACTATTAACTGTTATAGTTCAAAAATAGGAAAAAATGTTTGGATAACAGCACTGTTTTATTATTTTTCAGCCTGGGTAAAGGGAATGCTACTTAGTGATAAGAAGAGTGGATGGTTTCCAAGTAACAAATTAGGCCATGAAGTCGACAGTGAATACAGCAGAGGTCAAGCTGTTAAACTTCGTTATCAAAAAGAGAGAGAAAGGGGAAAGGAGGACAATGATGAAAAGAAATAAGACACTTCAGTTCCAAAACTGTAAACTAATCAAGGAAAAAGTCGTTTGTGTATTGTGATGTAGCTACCAGATAAATATACTTAATTCCCGTCAGCAAAATGTGATTACTTAATAACTTAGTTAATTGATGGATTTGTTGATAGTTAAAAATAAATTACTTCACCTAAAATACTACAATCCCTGACCCTGCAATTCCTGTCACAGGTTTGGCGGCCAATGACTTTGTAGCTATAGCAAATCAGTATATTGCTAGTTTAGCCATTTTCACAACGAACCTACCATCATATTTCAAGTAAGAACGTACCTCCCTAATTAAATCCATGGAATGTAGGCCTACTCAAACCACTTAATGATGTATCAATTACTAAATCAGGAGGGTCGATGGTATCCACAAAGAAATGTGAAAGAGTGTGCTTACGAGATGGTACCCCTTTTACTGATATTGTCAATGTGGACTAGCAAAATACCGACACAATGGTAATGTGCGAATGTAATTTATCCAAATCCAACTCCCCCTTAAGATCAATCTCACTTACTTTAACGTTAGCAACAATTGCGGAAAAAATTGGTTTCTAAACATATTATTGAATCAATCAAAACAAATATTGACACATACAATATCCAATATGGTAATCAAAAGGGTAAGTTATGTTGCTCTGATAACCCTTTTTTATTATTATAACAGAAAATGTCTAAACATACATAATAATTAGGCTATTATCTACAAAATTATAAACATTGTTATCGCCTTTGTTTGCACTCACGCGTACATTACATAATGCACCGACATAATAACGCACACGAAATGAAATGCATTTTACTTGAACATACACAAGTATATAAACCTACGAAATGATGTTTGCCCTACCTGACGCAGTAAATATGTACAAAATGCTCAGTACATTCTTAAATACTTGCAAAAACAATCTCGCAAGTGATTAGGGGTATTTATTTATTTATTTGTTTGTTTGTTTGTTTGTGTATTTATTTATTTGTTTATTTACTTTTTATTTTTTTATTTTTCAATTTTTTATATTTTTTATTTTTTATATAACTTTATTTTTTATTTATTTATTTATTTTTTTTTTTATTTAGGAATGTCCTGAGCATTCAATATTATACCACGTCAGGGCAAACGTCTTTTCGTATCATTTATCCTGACGCAAAATGTCATTGGAGTATATAAACCTACTCACCAAAATAAGAATATAACACAGTAATACTAATAATAATAGAAGTTTTAAACATTTTGACATTGATTTATTTTTATCTAATGTTAATAATATTGAACTGAAAAATATAAAAGAATGCTAAGATGTAAACATGTGTTACAATCTTTTAATTAATCGTCTAAAAAAGTGTGCGATCACCACTCACCATTTGTAACCAGGCGCTTGCTTTAAGTCTAATCTACTGGGCTGGCTTGAAAACAGACCAGATATATTTGATATAATGCACCGAAGAGATAGAATGAAGGCAAAAGCCAAGCGTACTAAAAGTGAGCTTTACTGGCGATTAACTAAAGATCTGAAAAAAATTGTGTAACTAGTCTATGTAGAGAGGCTAAAGAAGAATTTTATAAATCATATATATCTGAATATGCAGGTGATTCAGGTAAGATATAGGTAGGCCTTGGGAATCTCCTCCCTCGTAAAAGAAATAAATTGCTAATTCTTTCAACGATTATTTTATTAATATAGGCTTAAATCTTAATAACGATAATTCTTCTACTGAAGCTATTACCACTAACCTTTATGACATTTCTTGTGAATTTTCTTTCCAGGGTTTAACTGTTGATTTTGTTCTTAAGGAGATGCAAGGAATCAGCCCCAAAAAAGCAACTGGTCTGGACGGCATCAGTGGTAGACTATTGAAGCTGGCAGCCCCAGTAATAGCACCTATTTTCACTCACATTTTTAATCTATCACTCCCTGCAGGCACATTCCCTGACTGTTGGAAAGAAGCTGCTGTCACCCCAATTCACAAGGGTGGCAACACTTCTGACCTCAATAACTACCGTCCCATTTCTCTCCTCCCTATATCCTCTAAGATCATTGAAAAGGCAGTCCACTCTCAACTCTATCATCACCTTTCCACTAATAATCTTATCTGCCCTAATCAATCTGGATTTAGAGCTGGCTTCTCCACGCTTACAGCAGTAACCAATGCACTCAATAACTGGCTTCTCAACATCGACAAAGGACACCTTACGGGCTCTATTTTCGTTGACCTTCGTAAGGTTTTTTATTTAATTCATCATGATATTTTAATTAATAAACTTACTTATTATGATTTGTCTCCTCTATCTTTCGATGGTTCTCCTCATACCTTTCTAACAGATCCCAAAAAAGTGATTAATAACTCCTGGACCACCTCATCCTCCTCCAGACGAACTAAAATGGGTATTCCCCAAGGATCAATAATTGGGCCCCTTCTTTTCACCATTTTCATTAATGATCTCCCTTCGTCACTCACTCTTCGGTTGATATGTACGCTGACGATACTATTATTATACGTCTCGGATCCTTCCATCTCTAACATTGAAAAAAAGTTAAATGATGATCTTATAAATCTCACCAAATGGCTTACTGCAAACGAACTTCTCATCAACACTAACAAAACAGAATCTATGCTTATTGGCACAGCCTACAAATTGCGTCGCAATAACACTCTTAAGACGCACATTAATGGCACTTAACTCAAACAAGTACATACACATAAACACCTTGGTTTAATAATTGACGAAAAACTCACATGGAACTCCCACATACGTAGCCTCCGTTCAAAACTCGGTCTCTTTACAACTCTCCTGGGACGAGTACGGAGATTCATTGACACCCGCACAGCACTTTATTTACAACACCATTTTTCTTCCCCATATTGATTACTGTTGTACCGTTTGGGGAGCCAGGTCTATAACTAATATCAACAAAATTCAAACTCTTCAAAATAAAGCACTTCGTATTGTATTAAAAACTCACCCTTTCACATCATCAGCCACCCTTTTCACAACATTCAATATTCACAACGTCAGTCAACGAATCAATTTACAACTTGGCTGCCTAGCATACAGGTCTGCTTCTGGTGTCGGACCAGACTACCTCTGCAAACTTTTTACGAAAGTTCAAAGCAGGAATACTTCTACTAGAGCAGGTACTGCTGGTCATTATAATTTGCCCAAACCGAGAACTGAAATGTTTAAAAGTAGTTTTATTTATAAAGGTCCTTCCTATCTTAATTCACTTCCTAATGACATACGGAATTGCAATACATTTTATTCTTTTAAAAATAAACTAAAAATAGCACTAAAATCATCTTAATGACTGCTTTTATTAAAATTGAAATTTTATATCTTGTTTATGCAATTGTTTTTTTTAAATTTTAATGAAAATCTATTTTATAATTGTGCTTTATATATTTTACATGCATTACTGTATTTGTTTTGTTATACTGTATGTTTTGTATTTGTTA